ATAATAAAATAATCAAATTTTAATTATGATTTTTTCATAACAAACATGACAAACATTTAAATCATCAAGCTATCAAACAGTAAACATGATTTAACTTGATTTATTAAATTGGTTGTCAAAAAATTTTTTAGGTTTAACCCCTTTAGAATTTAATAAATTCAAATTTACAGCATTTACTAAATTATGTTAACTTAAATTTAATATGTTGTCATATATGCCCGTAGGGGTTGTTTGGAAACAGACTTTAAGAAAGTCATACGCAATATTCAACCCAAATCCTACCAAATATAATAAAAAAGACAATTTCATATCACATGGTATCTTAAATCTCATTTCTCTAAAGAGTGTGGAGCTTGGTGGGACGAAGAAGAAGATGAGGGTTAGTCGGGTAAGAGCAAAGTGGAAAGGGTGATATACAGGAGTTTTGGAGATGTTTGTGTGACGCGATCCCGTGAGGTTTTAGTTCGGTTACATGATGTACGAAGATTGTCCACCACACAAGTGGTGTTAGTTCCAACCTACTATACAAGGACACTGGGCACGAGGTATGAACACAATATAATAAAACTTATATTTTAACACATACCACCCAATTATTCCCTGTATTACTGCGCCGTTTTTTTTCTCTATCGCGCAGAGTGTCGTGGCGTGATTTCATTGGCTACGCACGTTACTCTACGTGTGTAGTACTGATGTAATATTTTTCCCCAATTCTAATGTATTTATATATCTAACATTCAAATTTTTATTTTTTAAATGAATACCACCTAAATTTTTAATATCACATAAAAAAATTATTATTTTAACTTTTAAAAAATAAATATATATTTTCACGCATATATAAGTGTTGAATCATAATTTGTCATTTATGAATCACGCTCCGAGTGTTATAGCCGAGTGAATGAGAGAAAGAAGAGAGTATAACAAGTCTGAAATTTTTGCAGGGAGAATCGAGGGAGAGGTTCATTTTTTCGTCCTTTTGCCTCATACTTATAGAGACGTGTTTCGTACCATAACAGAAATGAGGAAACGATTATGAAAATTATTATTAATGTCATTAAGGTCATTAAGCCTTTGATTGATTAATTGATTATATATATTTTATGTCATATTTGCATTACAATTTGAATTTCAATATTGAGAGTAATTGGTCGGTCGACTTACTTGAAGTTAGCCGACTGAGGCGATCGATCGAGTGACATCTATGCCATTTGAAGTACACATTGGTTGGTCAAAGATTTTGGTCGTATGGCAATCTTGCTTGGTATATTTTGACACGGTCGACCAGAGCGGTCGATTGCGTTGTTGTCATTTGATCCAGATGAGGGATTGATCGGTCGAACGTGATTGGATAGTTTTTTTCGTTCAGTGAGTCGTAGCTCATTTTGCGTTCAGCTCGAATCTTGCAGGGCTCGTGTCCCGTATGTCTGGTTGGTTCATCACCTTAGTTGGATCTCCCAATTTTGCAAGGTCTTAGGTGAATCTTGTCATAGTTTATTTGAGGAATCTGATAAGACTAACTGTCGGGATGATTTACGCCTCACATTAGGCGGGTATTGTCGCTACCGAACGGGGAACCATCTCCAAAGCTTGAACTTATCATGGATTTGGAGATGTGGCTTCAAGTTCAGCCTTGAATTGTCAGTTGATTGCTTACCTTGAGAGGAGACTCTTTCATCTTGGTCATTCGTTCTCTTGAGATTTGTGCTGGAATTTTTGGTGTATACATATTTGTTTCCTGAGTTTTGTTGCTCCTTAATAGTGACAACTACAATAAGGAAAGGAAAATTTTTAAACAATCGTTAGCAATAAAATTACAAATTGCTTGAATGCATGACTTCTCTTAAGATTTTGTGCCCCATGTGTTCTTTAAATTGACATGAATTGAGCCTTATATTATTTGTCACCAGTTTCTCTTTTTATAACTGAGGTGCATTGTGGTTGACAATCCTGAAAGGCTTGCAATGGTGGGGTTTCAAATTCCTTCTTCTATAGAGAAGAATAAAATGGTGATGAAGGAAAAATGAGCGAGGTTTGAATCTAACTTGATCGACATAGTCGACTCATTTGACAATTTGGAAGGTCATTCGTAGAATATGCCTCATCGAGGGGCCTTGGAGCCTGGTTCGGACATGCATGTTGAGGTACAGCAAGTCCTTTTGACCAAGGCGAGTGGTAAAGAGCTAGGGGGAATCAGTTGTCACGATCCTCCACAGTCATTGCCGCAAGAAAGTGGGGGTGCCTCAGCGTCAGAGAAAGAGGGGGCATTTAACATTGTCTCCTCCATTGATAGACTTATGGATGAATTGGCTATGTTGGAGGAATGTCAGTAAGATGAGTTGTCAAAGAATGTTGTGGAGTATGCCCCTATCGCAGTCATCGTTATGTAGGTTGGAGATGTGGGG